TCTCCTGACTCAAGTAGCTGTAGGGGCTGGTGAACCCAAGACTGGCTGGTTAGACAGCAGGCCTCTGGCTCACAGGCTGTAGAGGCCAATGAATCCCAAGATCAGAAGGTGAGACGGCAACCCACTGGCTCACAGGCTGCGGAGGCTGATGAATCCCAAGATCGGCAGGTAAACTGCTAGCTCAAGTCCTAAGAACCAGAGGTCAGGTGAGGAGCCAACTGCAGGATCCAGAGCAAGCAAAAGCCAGTGAGCTTTGCCAGGAAGTCCTCATATATTGGATGCAGGCCATATCCCCAAGGAAACTCCCTTTCAACTGCCTGGCTGCTCATCATAGCAGATCTCATCATAGAGGTGATTACACTATATCAGATCTCATTACGGAGGAGATCACATCACTACATAGCTGCCAAACTACATCATAACTGCCAAACCACTATGAATCATGGCTCAGCCAAGTTGACACACAATCTTAATCATCACAAGCCCCTTCTTGGTGAAGGAAGATACAAATGAGAAATATGAGATTCATTTCCCTTCTGAAAATGAATTGGCTGTTTGCAATAAATTGCCTTGCTAGCTAGATATATTAGGCAACATTAAAAGTTCAAATTCAGATTGTTATATGCTATATGTTGGTCTTCCTTACTTGCCTAAATTCTCAACACATAAAGGTAATAGCCCTCAAGTGTGTCACAGAACTTGTCTCCGTTATGAAATCTATTCTGGGGTCCATGTGCTAGCCTCTGACTTATGATGCACTAATTTAGATAACTATACAAAGGTATTTTAAAGGCTAGTGTGAAACAATGATATTATTCACAGAATGTGTTTGTTGTTAATCCCTTAAGATTTTTTCACCTTTCTATGTCCCACTTAGTATGGGTCTGTTTTTCTCCCAGCACTGTATTAAGCACAGGGTAATTCATGGTGTTTGAAACAAGCAGCTTTAATATCGAAGGGTTACAATTTCTCCATATTCTTGCCAATACTTGTTATTTTCCATTTTTTTAAATAACAGCCATTCCAACCATTACCCATTGCTACCAAGTCAATTCTGACTCATAGTGACCCTATAGGGCAGAGTAAGACTGCCCTATAGGGTTTCCAAGGCTGTAACCTTTACGAAGCAGACTGCCACACGTTTCTGCCGCGGAGTATCTGATGGGTTCGAACAACCAACTATTCGGTTAGCAGCCGAGCACTTAACCACTGGCCACCCACAAAACATCCATTCTCTTTGAGTTGTTGAGTAAATTCTGACTTATAGTGAACCTGAAGGACAGATGGAACTTCTCTATAAGGTTTACAAGGCTGTAATCTTTATGGAAGCAGACTGCCAGTTCTTTTTCCTGTGGAGCAGCTGATGGATTCAAACCACTAATCTTTTAGTTAGCAGATGAGTACTTAACTACTGCACCACCAGGGCTCCTTACAGCCATCCTAGTTGGTGTGAATTGATCATTGTGGTTTTGATTTGTATTTCCCTAGTGACTAATGAAGGAGCCCTGGTGGCTCAGTGGTTAAGTGCTGGGCTGCTAACTGAAAGGTTTGTGATTCGAACCCATCAGTCACTCCACAGGAGAAAGATGTGGCAGTCTACTTCCGTAATGATTACAGCCGTGGAAATTCTATGGGGCAGTTCTACTCTGTCCTATAGGGTCACTATGAGTTGGAATTGACTCACTGGCAACAGGTTTGGTTTGTTTTTTGGTTAATGACAAATGAGGTTAAGTATCTTTTCATATGCTAAATGTCTATTCAAGTCCTTTGGCCCCTTTTTAAATTGGGTGGCCTTTTTGTTGCGTTACAGGTGTTCTTTATATATTCTGGATATTTATCCCTTATCAAATATTTAATTTCCAAATATTTTCTCCCATTTTGTAGGTCTTTTCACTTTCTTGATAATGTCCTTTGATGCACAAAAGTTATTATTTTGACGAAGTCCAATTTTATTTTTTTTTAATCTTTTGTTGCTCAAGCATTTGGTGTTGTATCTAAGAATCCACTGCCAAATCCAAGGTCCTGAAGCTTAACCCCTATGTTTTCTTGTAAGAATTTTATGGTTTTAGTTTTTATATTGAGGTAATTGATCCATTTTGAGTTAATTTTTGTATATGGTGTCAGGTAGGGTTCTAACTTCATTCTTCTGCATGTGGACATCCAGTTGTCCCCACTGAAAAGACTTGGAACCCTTGTCAAAAGTCGATTGGTCATAGAAGCATGTGTTTATTTCTGGACTCTCAATTTTATTCCATTGGTCTCTCTCTCTATATGTCTATCCTTATGCCAGTACTACACTGTTTTAATTACTGTAGCTTTGTAGTAAGTTTTTAAATTGGGAAGCATTAGTCTTCCAATTTTGTTCTCTTTTTCAAGATTGTTTTGGCTATTTGGGATGATAGGCACTTTTTACTTACATTATATCATTTGAACTTTCAGTAAACCTATGAAGTAGGTATTACTAAGTGAAATAGGCCATGTGAAATTCTTAACAATATCAGGTATGTGGTGAGCACTCATTTAATGCTGTTATTCCTATTACCACTATGAGGAACTGATGATGGTCTAGGGAGGTCGAGGCACTTGCTCAAGACAATGCAGCTATTAAATGGTAGAGACAAAATTCAAACTTGGGAAACTCTGACTCTGAAGTCTTGTCTCTTTCCATATAGCAAATCTTCTCCAGTTATCTCTACCCTACCCTTGAGATAGCCTGACACTTCCTACTTCTGGTTCCACACTGATATTCTCCTCCTCTAGGTGTTAGAACACTGACATTCTGGATACCTAACTATACTTATCATATTATAATGTCATAACAGGTCATATTATAATGACATGTTCAAAGTCCCGGAGTTAGAAAACCAAAAAGGAAGAACACACTTGGCATTTCTCAAGCTGAAAGAACTGAAGAAAAAATTCAAGTGTCAAGTAGCAATAGTGAAGGACTCTATGGGCAAAATACTGAATGATGCAGGAAACCTCAAAAGAAGAAGGAACGAATACACACAGTCACTGCACCAAAAAGAACTGGTCGATGTTCAATCATTTCAGGAGACAGTATATGATCAAGAACTGAAGTCCAGGCTGCACTGAAGACATTGGCAAAAAACAAGGTTCCAGGAATTGATAGAATATCAATTTAGATGTTTCAACAAATAGATGCAGCACTGGAAGTGCTCACTCGTCTATGCTAAGAAATTTGGAAGACAGTTACCTGGCCAACCGACTGTAAGAGATCCATATTTATGCCTATTCCAAAGAAAAGTGATCTAATCAAATTATCGAACAATATCATTAATATCAAATGCAGGTAAAATTTTGCTGAAGATCATTCAAAAGCAGCTGCAGCAGTACATCTACAGGGCACTTCCAGAAATTCAAGCCAGATTCAGAAGAGGATGTGGAACAAGGGATATCATTGCTGATATAAGATGGATCCTGCCTGAAAGCACAGAATACCAGAAAGATGTTTACCTGTGTTTTATTGACTCTGCAAAGACATTCGACTGTGTGGATCATAACAAATTATGGATAACATTGTGAAGAATGGGAATCCAGAACACTTAATTGTGCTCATGAGGAAGCCATATACAGACCAAAAGGCAGTTGTTTGAATAGAACAAGAGGATACTGCATGGTTTATAGTCAGGGAAGGTGTGCATCAGGGTTGTATCCTTTCACCATGCTTTTCCAATCTGTATGCTGAGCAAATAATCCAAGAAGCTGGACTATATGAAGAATGCAGCATTGGGATTGGAGGAAGACTCATTAACAACCTGTGGTATGCAGATGACACAACTTGCTTGTTGAAAGTGAAGAGGACTTGAAGCACTTACTGATGAAGATCAAAGACTATATAGCCTTCAGTATAGACTACATCTCAACATAAAGAAAACAAAAATCCTCACAATTGGACCAATAAGGAACATCATGATAAATGGAGAAAAGATTGTAGTTGTCAAGGACTTCCTTTTACTTGGATCCGCAATCAACACCCATGGAAGCAGCAGTCAAGAAATCAAACAATGCATTGCATTTTGCAAATCTGCTGCAAAAGACCTCTTTAAAGTGCTAAAAAGCAAAGATGTCACTTTAAGTGCTAGGTTGTGCTTGACCCAGGCCATGGTGTTTTCAATCGCCTCATATGCATGTGAAAGCTGGGCAGTAAATAAGGAAGAATGAAGAAGAATTGATGCCATTGAATTATAGTGTTGGCGAAGAACAGTGAACATACCATGGGCTGCCAAAAGAATGAACTAATCTGTCTTGGAAGAAGTACACCCAGAATGCTCTCTGGAAGCAAGGATGGGGAGACTTCATCTCACATACTGTGGACATGTTATCAGGAGGGATCAGTCCCTGGAGAAGGACATCATGCATGGTAAAGTAGAAGGTCAGCAAAAAAGGGGAAGACTCTCAACAAGATGGATGGACACAGTGGCTGCAACAATGGGCTCAAGCATAACAAAGATCATGAGAATGGTGCAGGACCGGGCAGTGATTCATTCTGTTGTACACAGGGTCACTATAAGTGGGAACTGACTGGATGGCACCTAGCAACAACAACAACCATACTTGAGTGCTCCTTGGAAGTGTTTCGACTCATAAGGCCACTATGAGTTAGAACCAATTCAACAGCACCTAACAACAACAACCATACTTGTCCTTATAATCATATTCATGTGCAGTCATGATACTGTATACTGTACAGATCATTCTATTTTATACTTCCTGAGAGTCCACAAGGCCTATAAGCATGAGAACAATCTCTCATATGATTTTTATTCCTTTTCTCACCCTTGAACAGCACCAAAAGCTCACCAGGCCAGGATATCCAGCTGAATAAGTAGTAGCTAAGAACAGAGGTGAGGGACACTGAGGGAGGCTTTGTGAAAAATACCCAACATCATGATATCTCAATAGCCCTGTCCAGTACAGTGAAGCCCACATACAATTTAGGAGTATAGAAGAGATCTGCGAGAGAAAAATGAGCTTACCTGAGCTCTCAATGGCAGAGGCCCAGTAGCCATAGTCTTCTCTTTCCTGTGTGGTCCTTCCTAGGTGTTGGGCAGAACTCAGAGAAGGCAGAGCTAAGAGAAGAAAAAGGAGCCATGAGAAACCAGACTCCTGTAACAAAAAATAAATAAATAAAATACCTACTGTCTTAGTCATTTTGTGCTGCTACAACAGAAATACCACAAGTGGATGGCTTTAACAAAGAGAAATTTATTTCTTCACAGTAAAGTAGGCTAAAAGTCCAAATTCAGGGCATCAGCTCCAGGGAAAGGCTTTCTCTCTCTCTGTTGGCCTTCTCATCAATGTTCCCCTGGATTAGAAGCTTTTCCACGCAGGGACCCCGGGTGCAAAGGACACACTCTGCTCCTGACGCTGCTTTCTTGGTGGTATGAGGTCTCCGTCTCTCTGCTCACTTCTCTCTTTTGAATCTCAAGAGATTGCCTGAGGACACAATCCAATCTTGTAGACTGAGTCCTGCCTTACTAACACAACCGCCATCCATCCTCCCTCATTAACATCATAGAGGCAGGATTTACAACATATTGGAAAATCACACAATACCAGGAATCATGGCCCAGCCAAATTGATACACACACTTTTGGGGGGACATAACTCAATCTATGGAACCTACAAATAAACTAAAAAGACATGTACAACATCTATATAAAGAAAAATAGTTTTATAACATTTATTTTATTAAGGCTATTTATTAAATTTATTAAGATACAGAGAGAGAGAAATACATTTATGGAAGGATGTCTCAACATTCTAAGCTGTCATTACTTTGAAAGTAATTTTTAAACTTAACATATTCCCAGTTAATTTGTATCTAAAACCAAAAAACTAAACCCATTGCCGGAGTTGATTCCAACTCATAGCAACTCTATAAGACAGAGTAGAACTACTCCATAGGGTTTCCAAGGAGTGGTTGGTGGATTCCAACTGCCTACTTTTTGGTTAGCAGCCATAGCTCTTAACCACTGCACCTATAGGGTTTCTATGAGTGGAAATTGACTCAACAGCAACAGGTTTGGTTTTTTTTGGTTAGTGACTAACGAGGTATCTTTTCATGTGCTGCATGTCTGTTCAAGTCCTTTGCCCATTTTTAAACTGGGTTGTCTTTTCGATGAGTTGTTGGAGTTCTTTATATATTCTGGATATTAAACCCTTATCAAATGCATGATTTCTAAATATTTTCTCCCATTTTGTAGGTCTTTTCACTTTCTTGATAATGCCCTTTGATACACAAAAGTTTTTAATTTTGATGAAGTCCAATCTTATCTATATTTGTTTCTTTTGTTTTCTTGTAAGAATTTTATGGTTTTAGTTTTTATATTGAGGTCAATGATCTATTTTGAGTTAATTTTGTGTATGATGTGAGGCAGGTTACAAAACTGTACTAATATCCATATTTTTGTTTTAAAATACATATATCCTGTCATGGATTGAATTACGTCCCCCAAAAAATGTGCGTATCAATTTGGCTGGGCCATGATTCCTGGTATTGTGTGGTTGTCCTCCATTTTATGATTGTAATTTTATGTTAAAAAGGATTAAGGTGGGACTGTAGCACCCTTACTAAGGTCACATCCCTGATCCAATGTAAAGGGAGTTTCCCTGGGGTGTGGCCTGCACCACCTTTTATCTTACAAGAGATAAAAGGGAAGCAAGCAGAGAGTTGGGGACGTCATCCCACCAAGAAAGCAGCACCAGGAACAGAGTGTGTCCTTTGGGCTGGAGGTTCGTATGCTAAGATGCTCCCAGACCAAGGGAAGACTGATGACAAGGACCTTCCTCCAGAGCCAACAGAGAGAGAAAGCCTTCCCCTGGAGCTGGCACCGTTAATTCAAACTTCTAGCCTACTGGACTGTGAGGGAATAAACTTTTGTTAAAGCCATCCACTTGTGGTATTTCTGTTTGAGCAGTACTAGACGACTAAGACATATCCTGACATATTTCAATATGCACTACAGATTTCGGGTGTCCACCCCTCCCCTTATTTTGTTGCTCAACTGCATTTTCTAGTTGTCGTATAATGAACTTATACTTTTATAAAGAAAATAAATAAATAAATATTTTACAGAAAAATATTCTCTGACTAGAAATCTATACAGGATTGGCCTCCCCATCTTTAAGGTCAAGGGTACCCCACACCAGCGCCGCTAGGAATCAGAAAATACAAAGGGCAGTTCCCGGAGATGCAATTAACACACGGGGCAGGCGCTGGAGCCTGGAGACCCTGCACCCGGTCCAGCATCCTCCGAGAGGTCCCAGTGCGTCGTTTCCCTCCACATTCGCGACGTGTCCCGGGACAAGGCTGCGCGGGGCTCGAGGACAGTAGCAGTGGGGAGGAACCTCGAGACTGAGAGACTCCTGGAACCGAGTCCTCTGCTCCTTGGACCCGCGGCTGCCGGCCAGGTCCCCCGCCCTCTCTGCTCCCGGGCCTTGGCGCCCTCCCGGAAGGGTGGTCAAAGGGCAGTGTCGGTGGAGACTCTTAGCCCTTGGGGTCTCACTGCGGCCTGGCTCCCGAGGGCGGGAGGGTCTCACCCGGTGCTGGGTGGTCCCAGGCTCCGCAGCGGCGGGGAGGGAGGCCCACCCGCGGCCGACTCCACCCTTCAGGCTGCAGAGGCCTCGCACAGGTGTCGCGGTCTCCTCCTGCCCGTGCCTCCGGCCAGTGACCACCAAACCCAGACTCAGTGCCTGCGGCCAGCGCGTCCCTGCCGTGGGCCATCCCCCACCTCGCCATCATCTGCCTGGGTGGTCCCGCACTCACCCCTTCTAGCGAGAGCCGGAGCATCCAGCCCCTCCGCCGGAAGGGCACGGACTACATTCCCCACAAGGCTGCGGGGCGCGGCCCAGGCTTTGGGACGCGCAGGCGCGGGGCCGCGACGGGGCTGGACAGGAGCAGATCCTGTGGTGTTATCGGCGAGTGTTGTGGGATTGCGGGCTTGCGAAACGACATTGCGTGTTTACACGGCTACCCTGAAGAATCTCCTCCTTAGAGCACACTAGTGCCCCTCTCCCCCATGGGTAGGCAGAGGAGAGGAGCCAGACAGCTTTGGCTAAGCCTCAGTTTCCTTCTCTGAAATAGAGAATGCCAGAGAATCCCCTTGTAAAATTGTCAGAAGATTGAGGAGATTTGGTATTATCATAGAGGATACATAGTGGGCACTCAGTGAGTGATAATTACTGTACCCCATCCACTCGCTCTGTGTCTATGTGTCCGGCACACAGTTCTAAGTGCTTCAAAATTAGCACCGTATAGAATGAGGGCAAAATCTCCATCAATTAAATGTGTGGGCGTGTTCAGTTTCAGCTGATCAGCCACTGTGGACTTTGGAGAAAAGTGCATGACATTCAGGGAGGACTGCTAGGGTCACTTGGATTGTAATATTTTGTTTTCTGAAAATAATTGCTAGTTTCCTCCGCCTGTTTCACTTGCTGTCTGAATTATTTAAAAATATTGAAAAACTTCACAATTCATCTAGTCAAGCCGAGATAACCCAGATAACACCAAGGAAACTAAGTAAAAATCTATCATTGCATTAAGACAAATGCCTTGCCTTGGATGAAATCATTTTCTCCAGGGCCATAAGGGCATTTTAACATTAGAAACTACCTGAATATATGGGCATACCTCGGAGATATTGCGGGTTCAGTTCCAAATCACCGCAATAAAGCAAACGTAGCAATAAAGGGAGTCATATGAATTTTTTTGTCTCCCAGTGCATATAAAAGTTATGTTTACACTATACTGTAGTCTATTAAGTGTGTAACAGCAGTATGTCTAAAAAAACAACGTGCATACCTCAATTAAAAAATACTTTAAGGCTAGAAAATGCTAACCACCATCTGAGCCTTCAGCGAGTCGTAACCTTTCTGCTGGTGAAGGGTTTTGCCTTGATGGTGATGGCTGCTGACTAACTAGGGTGGTGCTTGCTGAAGGTTGGGGTGGCTGTGGCAATTTCTTAAAATAAGACAACAATGGAGTTTGCCGCATCGATTGACCGTTCCTTTCGTGAAAGATTTCTCTGTTGCATGTGATGATGTTTGATAGTATTTTACCCACAGTAATACTTCTTTCAAAATTGGAATCAGTCCTCTCGAACCCTGCAGCTGCTTTACCAACTAAGTTTATGTAATATTCTAAATCTTTTGTTGTCGTTTCAATAACGTTCACAGCATCTTCACCAAGAGTAGATTCCTTCTCAAGAAACCACTTTCTTTGCTCATGTATCTATAAGAAGCAACTCCTCATCCATTAAACTTTAATCATGAGATTGCAGCAATTCAGTGACATCTTCAGGCTCCACTTCTAATTATAGTTCTCTTGCTATTTCCACCACATCTGTAGTTACTTGCACTGAAGTCTTGAACCCCTCAAAGTCATCTGTGAGGGTTGGAATCAACTTCTTCCAAACTACTGTAAATGTTGTTATTTTGGCCTCCTGCCATGAATCACAGATGTTCGTAATATATCTAGAATCGTGAATCCTTTCCAGAAGGTTTTCAACTTACTTTGCCCGGATCCATCGGAGGAATCATTATAGGCAGCTATAGCCTTACAAAATGTATTTCTTAAATAATAAGACTTGAAAGTTGAAATTACTCCTTAATCCACGGGCTGCAGAATGGACGTTGTGTTAGCAGGAATGAAAACAGCGTTAATCTCCTTGTACATCTCCATCAGAGCTCTTGGGTGACCAGGTGCATTGTCAATGAGCAGTAATATTTTGAGAGGAATCTCTTCTTCTGAGCGGTAGGTCTCAATAGTGAGCTTAAAATATTCAGTAAACCGTTTTGTAAACAGATGTTCTGTCATCCAGGCTTTGTTGTTCCATTTATAGAGAATAGGCTGAGTAGATTTAGCATAATTCTTAAGGGCCCAAGGATTTTCGGAATGGTGAATAAGCATTGGCTTCAGTTTAAAGTCACCAGCTGCAATAGACCCTAACAAGAGTCAGCCTGTTCTTGAAGCCAGGCATTGACTTCTCCTTCCTAGCTATGAAAGTCCTAGATGGCATCTTCTTCCAATACAAGGCTGTTTCGTCTACGATGAAAAAAAAATCTGTTGTTCAGTGTAGCCATCTTCATCAATTATCTTAACTAGATCGTCTGGATAACTTGCTGCAGCTTCTACATCAGCACTTGCTGCTTCATCTTACACTTTTATGTTATGGAGACGGCTTCTTCCCTTAAATCTCATGAATCAACCTCTGCTAGCTTCAGACTTTTCTTCTGCAGCTTTCTCACCTCTCTCAGCCTTCATAGAATTGAAGAGAGTTAGGGCTTTGCTCTGGGTTAGGCTTTGGCTTAAGGGGATGCTGTGGCTGTTTAGATCTTCTATCCAGACCACCAAAACTTTCTCCATATCAGCAATAAGGCTGTTTTGCTTTCTTAACATTTGTGTGTTCACTGGAGTAGCATTTTTAATTTCCTTCAAGAACTTTTCCTTTGCATTCACAACTTGGCTGTTTGGCATAAGAGGCCAGCTTTTGGCCTATTTTGGCTTTCGACATGCCTTCCTCACTAAGCTTAATTATTTCTAGCTTTTGATTTAAAGTGAGAGACATTAGACTACTCCTTTCACAGGGACACTTAGAGGCTATTGTAAGGTTATTAATTGACCTAATGTCAATATTCTCATGTCTTAGGGAATAAGGGGACCTGAGGAGAGGGAAAGAGGCAGGGGAATGGCCGGTTGGTGGAGCAGTCAGAACTTATACAACATTTATCGATCAAGTTGGCCGTCCTATATGGGCACGGTTCGTGGTGCCCCCAAACAATTACAATAGTAGCATCAAAGATCACTGATCACAGATCATCATAACAGATACAATAATAATAAAAAAGTTTGAAATATTGCAACAATTACCAAAATGTGACATTGAGACACGAAGTGAACAAGTGGCATTGGAAAAATGGTGCGGATAAAATAGCTTGATGCAGCGTTGCCACAAACCTTCCATTTGTAAAAAACACAACATCTGTGAAGCACAATAAAGCGAAGTACAATAAAGCGAGGTATGCCTGTATTCATCACAGTTTTTCCAGTAGATAGAGAAATGGACCTTGATAAAACTCCTCAATACAGTGTAATTTCCAACAAGTAGGCATAGTATATGGTTGGAAGAGGGAGAGAAGGGATAAAAAGAGACAGAAACAGAAAAATTAACACAAACATAAAGTACATATGAAGGTGGTAGCAATAAATGCAAATCTGTCAGTAATTACCAGATATGTACATGGACTGAACTTTCCAATTACAAGCAAAATCTGTTAGAGTAGATTTCTAAAAATCTAGCTACATGCTGTTTATGCAACACATATAAAATACAAGGATGAGGATACAAAAAATTTGTAAGTCAAAAGTTGGAAAAAGATACTAAGCCAATGGGAACCATAAAAAAAGTTAATGTAGCTATACTTAGATCAAACAAGATAAACGTTAAGGCAAAAAGTATTGTTAGAGGTTGAGAAGGTCATTACTTATTGATAAAAGGATTAAGTCATCAGGAACATAAAATATCCATAAACTTTTATGTACCTAATAACATAGCCTCAAAATAGATAAATCAAAAACTGATAGAACTACAAAAGAACATTGGGAAATCCACCAATACAGAGAGTTATTTTTAACCTATCTGTCTCAGAAATTGTTAGGAAAGCTGACCAAAAAAAAAAAAAAAAAAAAAAAAAAAAAAAAAAACAGTCACTAAAGATATGTATTATTTGAGGAGCAAAGTTAAGTTTGATCTAATGATATATAGAATGCTGCATTCCAAAATTGGATAAAACATATTTTCTAAGCACACATTTGCAAAAATGACCTCATGCTAGGCTGCAAAGTAGCCTCAACACATTTCAAAGAATTGGTATCATATGGACCACATTCTTTGACAGCAAAGCAATTAAGTTAGAATTTTTTTAAAGACTAGAAGACTAGGGAGGCTTTTTGTTTTGTTTTTTAAATTTAGGTAAAGAAAATATTTAGAGGACAATGTGGACCCTTCAAAGCACACAGCAGAGAAAAAAAGAAAGCAGGTTAGGTTGCACATACATCTAATTTTGCTACCTTCTGTTGTGCAGTGAACTACTTAATATGGCCCTTCTAGCCATAGTCTTTGTAACTTCTACCAAATGACTCGGTGGGACCATACAAATGAGGGGCTTATGGTCCATGAATGGTATTGGATAGCTTGCTAATAAATAAACAAGGCACATGGCACCCTTGTGGGGCTGGGACCATGCAAATAAGGTGTCAGGAACCCTAATGAGGGAATTAGTCAGTTTTGCCATCCTGCTAGGCTTAAAATGAGCCATCCCAGAAGTGAGAAGGGAGGATCTCACTACCACCAAGGAAGAAGAGCCAGGAGTGGAGTGCATCCTTTGAACCTAGGATCCCTGCACTGAGAAGCTCCTGGAACCAGGAGACCGAGAGAGAAACAGCTGTAACACTGAAGACGGGAGAAGCTGTGGCAGAGAAATGATGGCAGCAGAGGCAGGAGACTGGCAGGAAATGGTGCAGTGGGCTTCCTGGCCCACAGAGCAAGAAAGCTGAGTGCCTTAGGGCAGGAGGCTTGCTGGCAGAGTAGGGTGCCTCTGGGCACTTGGTGGAGCTAGGTTTGCTGACCCATGGAGTTAGAGCTGAGTGTCTCCATGCCCAGGCTTACTGGCAGAGTGGGGTGCCCTGGGGCACTTATCGGCAGAGCTGAAAGAGCTTTGTAACACTTGCCTAAGCAAGGCAGAGGCTGAGGGGCCAGAGAGAGGGCATGACTGAGAAGAGGCTATCCTGATCCAAGAACTATATCCTGA